CAACGTCCAGATTTGTTTTTTCTTTCTGTGCATACTCTATAAATAGGTATACTTAACTTATACGTGTATTTGTACTGTATATATATATATGCATTGATACATATACAGATGTGTATGCATGCATATGTGTTTTCCAATCAGTTAGGTTTAAATCAATAGACAAAAGCATATAAATTGTTGCCTAATTTTACCTCTTTTTCAAATAAACTGTAATCCATGATCAAATAAACTTCTTTGTATTGATAAACAGGTAACAGTAATTTTCGTTTATGACATTTTTTTCATTGATAATGAAATGATTTTGATACTATTATTATTCCCCTCTGTTGTTGTATTGAATATTCATGGCACAAATTGAAATCATAGGCTACAATGTTATGTATACTGATAAAAAAGAAATTACAGACGTTTATTTATTTATTTATTTTTATTCGGTTAAAGTAGTATGACCTACTTGTGCTTTGTGTGTGTTTGGTTATTTCAGGTAGTTTGTGTTGGTTGGTAGATGGATGGATGTACCTGTGCTTGTACACAATGCACATATCTACTGTTTTATAGTGTAAATCTATCTTTATGGCGTGTATATATCTGCCAATAAATACTCACATACGCATACACACAAACTAATAGTCTAATATGTTTACTTAAAGAGCACAATTATATTCAAAGCAAAATGCAAAATCTACCTAGAATAGTAATACAAACATGTCCGAATAGCCTATAAGCATTCAATATTAAAAGAAATCAGACAGAAAAAGATATGCTTAACAATTTAGGTTGCATTTTATATTGTACTGTTGCATTTTATTGCATTTCATTATTTAACAACTACCCTTATTTGTTTGTTATGATTGTTCTTTCTTTAAGTAGTTAAAAAATTCAACTAATAAATAAATGAATAATTTACATAATTTTTTTTGTTTTGTTTTGTTTATTAAATACGATTACAGCTTCATCATGTTTTGATTTACAATCAAAGTTGTGTAGGAGGGAATGAAATAGATTCTATTTTGAAGATTATGTGGCAAGTTACCAATCATCAAACATATGTCATCCATCTTTCTACAGGAAGTGTTGACTAACCTTATATATCTATGCAATACTTTCTCAACTGTCTAAGTAATTTAAAATGTTCTTCAGAAAATATTTATTAAAATTGATCCAGGCAAGCAAAAAAAATTTTATGCAAAAATCCTTAGTAACTAATGAATCAATTTTGTTAGTATCAATCACTGATTGTTAGATTTTCGCTTCATAAATAACTAACCATTTTAAAAAAAACATGAAATGAAATTGAAGAATGTTCATCATTATTGTTGCTTGGTAAAAGATTTCTTGAGTTGTACAGTTGTTGATAGTTTCAGAAAACAATCACCAGTATACATAAACTATTATTTTAAGTGAGAAAGTTTCTTCAAGACATTGTGAAATCAGAGATCATTTTTAAAATAAAAAATGACAGTTGAATTAGGGTATCATCATCATCATAAAAAAAGTCTTAAGAAAGTTTCGTGTTTTAAACACCGACTTAACAGTTACGACATATTGTTTATGAGTTCTAGTTTTTGGTGAAGTCTTTTCCTCTGAGCTGGATGGTTTGGTCGTGGGTTTTCATCGTTATTGTAAACGAACTCATCAACACTAACTTCAGATAGAAACTCCATTATCACACGAGTTCTAATCCCAAACAAAACAGCTGCTTGTAATTTTCCTAATTTCAAAATTGTTCAAAAGCTCTTGATTTTTTAGTATAGTGTTTCTGATAAGCCTGCTAGTTGAATCCTCAATCGGATTTCCCAACCGCTTCTAATAATTCCAGACTTAGTCTCCACAGCCACTTGAACATGAGAGAAAAGGCGAGAATCGAAAAATCAAAGACTAGTAATAGGGATTCAATCGTCATACCAGAATAAGGTGAATTCATTTTAGCTAAATGGTGCAAGTTACTTTATATGACACAGAAAAGTATTGATTCATGTTTAGGATGATATAGAGGTGGAGATTAATTAAGGGAAGTACTGAAAGTCCAAGCACTGTTTACTTGAATTCTTTATACAATAAATATGTGAATATTTTAATAAAAGGAAACTTGAAAGTGAATAAAGAGACAAGAGTTTAACTAGATAACACGCAAATCAAGTTAAAATCAGACTGTTTCACATCTGGAAAACAATTACATATTTTTAGTCAGTGAAGTAAAGTGTTTACTTACACACGATAATCCAACAGTAAGCAAATTATCTCACACTGAACCTTACTACATATAATGATGCTGATATACATTCACATTCAAACATAAAAATGTCGCTAATATCACTAGATAGGTTATTTGACTTAGAACTTCCTTGGGATTGTTTTCAACCATATAAAGGACATGCACTGTGCATTCAATGTCGAGTCATTTATACTGATGGGCATACTACAACTTCGACTCAATTTTTGATCTGGTCCAACATATTATTAGATCGGTGAAAAGAGGCAGTTAATTTGAAAAATATGGTGTAATTACATTATGCTTTCGAAGAATTTGATCATACATAAACTTGAAAAGGCATTTATAAAATTACTGAAGATCAATTAAATGGCTTCAGAATCACTTGGTATTAAATGCCGCGATAAAGTAGGAAGTAGAAAACTATGTTCATCGATAATAAAACATCTAGTCAAAATGAGCCATAGGGTTGAAAACAACAACAACGTCTTTAAAATGTTGCGTAAAGTTTTTTTTAGGATGAATTCTTAAGCTTTTTGACGCTTTTGCTATTCACAAATTCACATCCCCTTTATAAATACAGAAATAATTTGCCGTAACCTTGAATTTTTTCTGACAATCGTTAAAACATTTTTACAACCTAGCGTGGTGTGACGACATCCTATTCTTCTTGTAGTATATTAATTTTTCTCTTTATCTAGAGACGTATAGCTTCATGTATATATTTGAACTACATTTAATTGGTATCCATTAGTTCTTATAAATACCTTGGCAAGTATATATAGGACCACATTGTTCGTAATGTATAATGTAAACAAATTACATTTTTCAAAGTAACTACCTCTTCTCATTGCGCATTTAAATTTGATCGATCTAAATATTATAACATTAGTTAATGCCCAGTAATTCAAGGTTTGGAATTAAACATTTGTGGCATAATTGTAAATCCTTTTTCATAACTATTGTGAAGATGAAACATTTTATTGATTGATAAATTTAAATAGCACCACTCTTAAATGTAAGGTACAATGTCATGTAACAATAGATAAACTGCCTTTCATACTTATTGAATTAGATCAATATTTAAATCGGCACAAACAGATGAACAAAAACCAAATGACAAAATACATTCGGAGGGCGTTGTTATAGTGAAAACTCTTCTTTTCATTTGTAAATATTTGTGACCAACAAGGGTATTTGAGATTGAAATTTGTTAATATTGTGATGTTTATTTGTAAAATATTGAAATTATAATGTTAAGCTCCACGAGTTTTGATTCCTTCCCATGTTAGCTTGTTATATACAGTGATTTAGATTTTATCAGACAAAATAAATTTAGGTACCATAATTTGCAGATAGTGAATTCAAATAGTCCCATAAACACATATGAAAACCAACAAGCATGAGGTAGGAGGAGCAAAGTTTGTGGTGCACTATTCTGAAGAGGAATGGTATTACTTGTTAACAAGTGAATCGGAGATCAAGACTTGCACACTCACCTTTTAGAACGTCCTGAATTATAGTTATAAGCATTGTACAATATCATTATCTACATAATCTCTTGAACGCTTTACAGATTACTACAAAAGGTTGACACTTTGTTTCATAAAATACGTACTCTCTTTGTTCAAAAAGCAATTATTTTTATTACTAGTTGACTTTTATACGTTGACCTTAGAAAACAACTAATTTATTTATTTACTATTGAGTTATATTATCATAACTGATGTAGCATCTGATAACTAAGCGCAATATCGTGGATTGGTTGAAGTTGGACATTAACACCGTCGGATGTCGGCTTAGTGGTCTGAAGGTTAAGCGCTCTCGCGAGACCGAAGAATCTGCGTCCGAATTCATGTGCGATATCGTGGATAAGCGCCTTGGAAGAGCCCTATGCCGTTTATTGTTTTCAGGTTTCAAATTTTGGTATGGCATTGATCGTTTCATGATTCAAATATTTTCACAAGGTTGAAAGATATCTTAAATCAAGACATATTAGTCATAAACAATCTACAAATATTGCTTATACTAATCATTCTTTAAAATATTGTCTGTCATTGTATTATTGTGATTTAAATGAACTGCATGTTGAAATCCCATGTTGCTGGAAATAGGTATGAGGAGGATACTGTCTAGTTCATCTAACAAAAATGTACAGTTTTTTTAAGCAAACCAACAATTGTCTGATCACTACAAAGCTGAACAAGGTTTCGTCCTAGTATGTTAATAGTCCGCAACCACGAAGCAGTCATGAATATGAATTAGCTACTTCAGATATCGTAGTAAACACTTATCATTCGATCGTGGAATTAGATTGTCAATATTTTTTATCTCCTATAGGATAGCAAAAATGTGCGGTCAGTTGCAGTCAACTACCATGTATGCAATATGATCAAACAACATTAGTTACGACTTATCATTCCAACCTCGCGGATCTATCTGCAAGCCCGATACTCATGGGTACAGGATTATAACTTTTTAGGGGTGTAATATATAGTCAACAAAATATCGGCGAAGTTGTATGCACGAACGGGGATTTTTAGCCCTCTTCTAAAAACAACTTAATGCACATACTATTATTACTGAAACTGTTTTCATTCATCTTGAAATTATAAGAACCCGAAACCATTGGATAGCTACTTCCTCCATTTACTGGAAACAAGTCCCTTACTTTTGAAATTAAATCTGAAGCCATAGAATCGTGATGCAAGAAATTGATACCATAAATTTAGAAAAATACAATTATTATTGGTATTAATATTAGCCTTGTTATTATGCCTTTACTCACCAGTCCAGTGTGTAGAAGTGCCAACAGATATTAATTTCCGAGTTTTACAAGGAGGACCAAGTTTGTCGGTTGGAATACCACGAGCGCATGCTTGTGTTTTTTGATTGATTCTTTTACTGGTTGAAATTTCACCGGATGATTGTTGACCTAAACTTAATTCTGATGAATCATCGTAATCTAGGTGGTTAATGTTGTTTGGTGAATCAAATGAGTGAATTGAGGAATCATTAATTGACTGATTGCTGTCCATTTTACGATGTTTAGAATGAGCTGAGAAAAAATTGACAATACGGGTGGCAATAGTTTTATGTTTCTTGGAATATTTTAAGACAGTAGTACTAGATGGTGGAGGCATAGATTCTTGTTCATAGCAATACTTTTCGGATTTCGGTTTCGTTGTGCTAACAACTAAAAGAAAATAAAAAAAAGTGGACGGAAAACGGGTACTTTTAATTGTTTAATGTTCTAAACATAATTTTTTTGAATTTTGTACGGTGCTTGTAGTTTTTACCATCTTTTAAAAAAATATTACCGCTAGATATAGGTTTGGAAATTCATCCATGAACCTATGAAACTAAGGTTAGATTATCAAACTTAATGCCGACCGTATCACTTCGAAATACAGAGACACCGGGTCATCGACTGAGCATATTAATTTTTCTAATTATGAGAGTTAGGGTTTTTGTGTTTGTATTTACATTAGTCATCCATAATTATACTGTTCCACGTTATTTACACGATAGCAAATGTTTCAGAAATAACAGTGTCTTAACACCTGACAATTCTTCCATAAGGAATTTGTAGTACCGGCCTTGCAATAAAACTATATGGATGATGGTTAGCGGTAGAATCCAGGACGCTTGTTTCGTTCTATTTGGGCCTAGTCAGCTGAAATTACCTGCATCCTAGAGTTGACGACCACTTTGAAACTCCAACCCAACACTGTTCGCTTCAAACGCCACCCACTTAATCACGTAGTCCACATAGTCACCGGCTCGCGGAATGAGATGGATTTTAGTTTATATATATATATATATATATATATATATTCGTCATTTGGATCTTTCAATTGTGTGTACTGCATTGACATTGCCATCAATTCCCGAATAGGGTGAAACGAGCGTCCTGAGTTCCACTGCTCGCTACCACCCATCTCTGCCTAAAATGCTTGCAACATCAAGTCAATCTGCATAGGGTGCACGTATGTCAATAAGAGGCTGATCAATAGCAGTCCTAGACTTCAATGTCAAGGTTCAAGAAACCAATAAATATGAATGATAAACATTTGCCAAGCCATAAATCAAAATAAAACTCATATAACATTTGGAATTTACACAATAAATTAGAATTAGTTCTATTAGTTATCAGATTGATAAACTTGAATCTGTAAGTGGATCTTTTCATAGGGATTTAGCCGTGATAAGAAATACTATGTACTGAATATGATTACAATCCTGAAAAATACCAAATACAACGAACCAGGAGCAAAAATAATTTTAAAAAATTCTAAAACTTACTTTGGAGATCGTTTACAGACTCAGTATTTTTATGTTTCGATTTTCCAATGTGAAATAAATATTTAGGACGTAATTTCTTGAAAGATAATGATGAAGATGATGATTCAGATTCTTGTCTTCTGTCATTTGGATCAGTATTATTTGACTTTAGAGAATCAGTTTCTGATTGAATGTTTTTATTTATGGGATTTCCTATTTCATTATTATTTTGATTATGATCTATGTAGTCAATTTCTTCTTCTTGGTCAGTCACATTATCGAATTCTTCTTGTACACCCTCAAGTCCAGAGTCTAAACATTCATAAGCTCTTGAGTTAATTCGCTGAATTATACTCGTCTTCAACCATGGATTCCAACAGCTTTTCATTTTTTGATCATTATGTAACGCATCACGATTATTTATTCTGCTATCATCTATATGTGATAATTTGAAGGTACATAAAGTTGAATCGAATTTTGTATCAGCAACTAAATAATCAAAATGATTTTTTTATTTAAACACGGGCTAATCTTAATGGTAATTGACGTGATCTAATTGATTCCGATAAATTTTCTAATGAATCATGTAAACGTGAACGATCTTCAGGATTGTTTTGAACATCAAGCAGGTTATCTGAATGACTATTAAATGCAGTTTTTTGTTTCGATACATTTTCTACTTTTATTTGGATTTTTTCTGAAATTAAAATTGAAACAACTTTATTTAAGTTTTGGCAAACAAAATAAACTTGAACTTATACTGAATATTAGATTCCCTTAGTAAGTATATGAAAATGTTTCAAAATGATTACTTCATTAGGTATTGTAAATGAAAGAAGCATCTTTTTATAATATCTATGAAAGCATTTAAAACAAGATTTGGGCAAGTAATCATCTGAAAAGTATCATGTCCAATACCTTCATAAATGTAAATGTACGAATTTTTTTTTAAAAAAAAGGAAAATGGGATGGTGATTAAAGTACTTTAACTTCAATCATTGAGTTACAATTTTTGTATAATATTCATTTCATTTACATAGACCTCATTCTATCAGCTAGTTTTCAAAACTAAAGTGTAACTCCTAATTGAACATTGAAACCACAATAATCTCTATTCATTCCTTATATTAATTACGGTTATATCGAATTAAGTATTTTATTTAAACACTAACTATTCCATGTGTGTAAAACATAAATTCATTGAGTTTGTAAAATAAATTCAGATGTATCTAACATAGAATGGCACTTAGAAGAGATGTACATACTGCACAGAAGCTTATAAAACTTGCACAATAAATAATTCTACTTTAGTAAACATAAAAGCAGAAAAAAAGCATCCTGAAAATAATTGAAAATCCTTGTTTAATGAATGAAAAGTGTGTGTTGCATATTCTTCCCTTTCATGTAAGTTAGATTAGAGTGAAAACAAAAATATTTTAAAGATGACATAGTTGAAAACCATAGACATATAGAATCGATTCACATTAGCGCATTGTAATATTGTATATTTATTGTCTAAGATAACATATCGTTCAGTCATACGAAAATAAGTATTCTCACTTGTTTATTTGATAAACAATCAAATTATCTTTTGAATGGATAAAACTTTATTAACAGTTAAAATATTTAAGTAACCTGTGTGATTAACAAGGTTGGGAGAAGAAAATACACTCATCTATGACATAGGATGAACACTCTACATCATAAACTAAAAATGTGGACTATTAAATTTCAATTTTAGTGAGGGGTAACAAACACCTTGAAACTTGTGAATTCTCGGGTTAGATCCCAAGAGAACACATAGTTGTTAGTTTGGAAAGAAATAAGTATCTCGATTTATCCTACTTCCAGTTGTTCTGCTAATGACTTTATTCTATGGTAAAACTTGTACTTAAACTAGCGAAAATCTACACAGAACCATATATCTTAGAAATTAATTAACCCAAACTATTATTTAGTAGGCGTATTTGTGTTTGAAATAAAATGTTCTCCCACGATTGTGATAGATGCCTTTTTGGCACGTAAAGTTATTTTTTTTTAAAAACTTTATGTAGGCTGAATTTATCCCATAATCTCTTCGCTTAGATTATTGCTTGATATGTAAGAGGGTAATAGCTAAAACTTAAAGAATTGTATGAATCCATTTAGTGACAATATTGATTACAGTGACTAGGTAATTATGTTTCTGCAAACTTGTCAGAAATATTTACTGTTCAATATCGATACAACTTTATTGGGATAAACCTATTCCAGGCACATATGCGCACAATGATATTATTAATTAGTTAGAATACTATACAAGAGCTAATTGATTGTACATTACCTGCATTTCCAGAGTTAGCAAAAATCGATACTTGTCATTACCTAGAATTATCAGTGAATTATTTTTGTTTGAAAAGAGTGTCATATCACTCAAGTTGGATTATTTTTCTCATTAACTGGTTATATTTGAAAAATTCCAATATGAATCAAGGATTTTAAAACTGAGAACATAAACAGCCTAAAACTATAACTTGTGAATAGCTAAAAAAATCGTCAACGTTTCAAGTTGACAACTTCAAATCCTATTTTGGACTCATAAACTAATCAGAATTCAGTCAAGATTATCAACAACAGGATAGCTTAATTTCTTTCTAAAAATGATAATGACATCAAATACATTGCACAAATGATTCAGTATCTGAATTCAGTAGCTCAAATGATAACGCATTGAGCGTTTGGATTGAATATTACTGGTTTTCAGTCCAACTATCAACATCGACATTGGGATGGAGATAAATTCAGCTGAATAATCTTAAAATAGCCGTAAGCACGTAATCTGGATCTTCTTGATAGTCACAAATCCGCCTCTTCTATAAAAACTGTCATAAGGTTTCCGAAATATGGGTACCAATAAAACGTAAGTTAAATAAAACCAATACTGATGAATTGCAAACAGTAACTGTACAAATCGAACTTATAGTAAAAACTGAAGTATTTTGACGTGATAATATGCTTCATTATTTCACTTTACAAGAGTAAGTAAATATATTTTTTGATAGAATCCAACTGATAGTACATAATGTGAACACAATGATACTGGACCTTTTCTCAATAGTTTATCCTTTTGATAGTGAAAAAATGGTCTAAAATGATTTGTTCCCGCTATTAATCAGTACGTCGGTCATGGATTCTATTTTAGGAGATATCATGGATATATAATGTTAAAGATCGGTTAACTAATCGTAGCCCAATTCTTGTGTAAAAGTTCCAAACACGAGAATATGTTATGGCCCTTACACACTTGGATTATATATATTGACCATAATTAGAAATAGTAACTTGTATTTTCATGAACATTGTTTCATCTATACAAATAAACAGTTTGATAAAATTCGTAGTTTTCAGTTTCTAGTGTTTACTAGAATACCAATTACTTCACTATCTGGCTGTTACATAAAATTAGATAAAATCATAACTATACTCAGCTTGAAAAAAAACGGTAATTGACGGGTCTTTCTTTTCTTGCTTTGACCTCAAAAGTACCGACAAAATCATACAGTTTCATTTTTAATCATAACCTAGGATTGACCTTCACACAAGTTTGTATAAAATTGACACGACCTGAAATTATCTAAACAAACTGTCGATATTATCGAGAGAAAAAATAAAACCAACCATTTAATCAATTAACTATTTTTTCTAAGCTTTATCCAATGTAAACTGCGCTGTAGTTACCCGCTTCTATATTTTGAATTTCTCGCTTAACTCATTTTGATGACGAGATTTCTGAATTTCTTCATCATTGTAAACTATAAATGATGATGTGTTCTGATCGATGTTACTTGTTTACTTGATTTGCAATATTTCTGAAGGTAATGGTGTTTCAATAAACAATGATCGTATTATTTGTGCAAGGTTTTTCATTCTGAAGTTGTTATTCTATCAACCAAGCTAGTTATTTTGAGGCATATAGCTGGTGTGCATAGATAACTGTGTGACTATTCTGAATTTTCAAATTTCTTTTCTTAAAGACAGCTAACTTATAATTAAAAATAATACACTTTATTCATTCAATAAATGAACATTAAGTATCGGATGTATTAAAAAATCACAATCCAATAACATAATAATAAATGGTTTACCTGTTATACACACTGGAAATGAATATCCATGAGTTAGAAGATTAGATCACTTCCTACTTATTAGATATCTACATTATGTGAAGATGTCAATGAAATTACGCTATGTAATGGATTTATACTACCTTAGGTTTATCAGTAAGAATGTTACTAACGATCAAAAAGAGTTGATATCTTCTATAGGTCGAATTTTCTCAGATTGGGTAACTCGGTGATATAATACCACTGGCTATTAATATTGTTATTCTTTTGAGTTTAAGTTTTATATTTTAATACGCTGTATAATCCAGTTTTTTTGGTTTTAAACTCCCTATTCAATCTAGACAAAGCTTAGTCAGTGTTTTCTCTAAGAAATAAATAAAACAATCAACCATTTTTATCATTCCAATTCTTATATTGACATAAAGAGGAATTCTGTATACTAATTTATACTTAATTTTCTAATTCACTTGTTAATTAAATTCAAAATGTAGTGAAAACATTTAATGCACAGATTACGTACAGATTATACAGTTTGTGCCTACCGCCTACATTGAAAATATTCATATCTCATGTGTGTGTTCTTTTTTACTCTATTCATTATTTCTTCCTAAATTCTAGTAGAGAGAAAGAAACCAGAAGTATGGGGTTGAAAACTGAATTGAGGAAAAATATAACCAGAAGAAAATAAACTATGATGATGTATCTGACGATATTGCTAATATAACACGAATAAAGTCGTAGGAAAATAATAATAATAATGTTAGCTACTATCAAGATAAGGTACAGATTCTTAACTATCTTCAACTCTACTAAAGCACAATGATAGATTTATAAGGAAAAAGTGCTTTACTGAAAGTTGCCATTATACAGCAAAGCTGATGATAGACTAAAGGGTTGAAATCCTACCATCTATTTGTGTGTGTGTGCACGTGAATTAAACTTTTATAAAACGCTATGTTAAGCAAAAACAAACCAACTAATCGAATGCCTGCAGCGAAAAAAGAATCTTAAAAACAAAACACTAGCCAAAGTTTATCCTTGATATATTTTCATTATATACCGGTTAAGGATACTAAGTACATATATATAATTACATTGGAGATTATGAACAAGTGATCAATAAGTAGAGGATAGTCAATGACAGACGAGAAACATAATATCAATTTTAAATTTGCAAACTTGGAACAAACTATTTATTTTGTTTAATATTGTAAAACACCCATTTGGCTCAAGTTACTATGTGTCGTATGCAGCATAAGCTATATTACCATGTAGAACTGAAGGTCCTATATGAAATTCGATATTGATATTGTGGATTGTTGAGCATTACTTTGGAAAGTTTTGCTGATTGTTCATACTCAGAGCACGTTTGCTAGTTAACCGATTTCATTAGTGTTGTTAATTGCTTTTCAGTTTTCTAAAGCGCTGTTGTCATTGGGACATTGTAAGGCATATCATCATTACTAACATCAATGAGTTTAACCGTTACGTAAGCGGGATAAGTCAAAATTGGTCTTTTCATGGTGTGCATAATTGATTGACGTGATCAATGATCGGAATAATCACATATATAATGTATATGTGTATGAATCGT